ACCACCTTGTCTTTCCCTTTCACTATTCTGGTCATGAACTCAATGGCAGCGGTGTTCTTATCAATCTTCTTTTCGAGATGCACGAGGTAGACCATGATAGACTGCAGAATAGATGCAACCTCACTTCCTACTTCTTCGTAGTGAAACCTTTGCCTCAAGTCTTCCATTACTCTCTCTTCCTCTTCTTGTTGTTCTTTCCATCTTCGGTACTCTTCAACCTTCCTTCTCGCTTCTCTCAATGTGTTCTCTAACTGTCGGATGTTTTCCTCCATCATATCCACGGACAATTGCGGTTCTCTCCTTTCAACCCTTTCTTTTTTCTTTTTTTTTCTTTCCCGGTCTAATTTTTCAAGGCCCTCGGCGACATACCGATCAAGGACTAATCGTCCTTGCTTTATGAGGTCTTCGACCTTCTGGCCTGTCTCCATCATCTGAACAGCAGTTCCAGTGGCCTGTAGGTCTCTTTCTGCATCACGCAGATTGACCTGTTCGTGAACATGTTGTTCGGCATCTGGACCGGCGCCATATATTTCGCCAAGTAGCTGGCGAAGGAGACCCAACAAAGTCTGTCTCCTTCTGTCAATCTGTCCACGGGTTTTCAATTCCACTCTCTCTTCATTAGCAAAGACAGTGAGAGGGATGGGAAAGAAAAAGAGAGGTATGAACCGAGTCAAGATAGAGACACGCAAACACTTCCAAAGAGAGTTCTTTCTGCCAAACGTGCAAATGTCGCACAATAAATAAAATTAAAAGAAAAAAATAAATTCCACGACGCACGCAACTCTTATAGCAAGAATTGTTAAAGTCAGGGACAAAGAAACAGGTATTAACAATTTTCTAATATTATTTTGTTGTCTGTTCTTCCTAGTATATGTGTGATGACGTTCTACCGTATGTGTGCAGGTACCGCAACCACGATCAGTGTGATCAAGACAACAACACGAGTAAGTATGCACAGCATCCACAGACAACCAACAGGTGAGTAGAACCAACACATAACACAATCAATGGTTAGTTCTCCTCTCAATCGTCTGCAGCAGCAGTACAACCCAAATGCACATTCACACTTTCAGCAGTCCTTACACATGCCACGTGTCACCCTTGGCCTGCCAAGACAACAACTCAAAGAGTCTGCCACGTCAGCAGATCAAGGACCCAATAGGTCCACAAGGAGGGATGCCACGTCACAATGCAGGTCTGCCTTCCACCAATATACCAAGTCAGCACATCAATAGCACACAGTAACAGGTACGTGCCACGTCAGACCATGCCCTGCATGCCACATAACAATGTGCCACATCAGCGGTACTAGCTCCACGTCAGCCTGTTGCCAACGCAACTCTTTAATCTTTAGCGTAGCCTTGTCATCATCATCTTCAAGGGACGACTGCTCGGAAGTGCACTATTACGATGTCTAGACTTGAGGTATGACCGCGCGCGTTAATAAACGCGTTTCATATTGCACATGCGGCACCTCCCACTTACCTGGGTGCCACGTCAGCACCTGACAGCTAACAACAGATCGCGATGAAGAGATGCTCCGATACCAAATTGCAATGAACCCATATCGTGAAAACAATTATCAACAATGCAAGTCCAGAAGAATGTCAACAGCTGATGAGTACCAATAATCAAGATCGTGTCCAGACAGAATGAGACGAGATAATCATACACAGACGGAGAAGAGAGGAGGGAGATTAGACAAAGGAGAGGAAAATACAATGCCCACTCCTGCTTCGGGCTCCCTCCTCCAACACCACTTCAATAATCAACAGTTTGAACGAGTTCCTCATCAGCTCTGGAGCAATGTCGACATGAAGACAATCAGGTACGTATTCACGATCCCTCCACAGTCCCGATCTTCCTCTTCCTCGCAACCAGTCACCTCATGTAGACAGCGTGGACAATGCCACGTCAACAACCAAGACAGGTGGCATATGCCATATCATCAATGAAGACCAATAGCAACGCCACATATACCAGAGGCAGCGCCACATCAGCATGTCACGTCGACCATATGCAGCGCCACATATACCAGAGGCAGTGCCACGTCAGCATACCACGTAGACCAGAGGCAGCGCCACATATACCAGAGGCAGCGCCACGTCAGCATGCCACGTAGACCANGCCACATATACCAGAGGCAGCGCCACGTCAGCATGCCACGTAGACCACAGGCAGCGCCACATATACCAGAGGCAGCGCCACGTCAGCATGCCTGGCGTACATTGCCAGCGTCGCCTCTCCCTCGTGTCGTCGTCCGCAGCTCTGATGCACAGCCAACGTCGCGCCAGCATAATGCCAGCGTCGAGTCAAAGTCAAGCCAGCGTTGAACCAGCATAGCAAGACTGAATGCTGACCACCTCGAGGCCAGACTTTAAGTAGTGTTTGACGAGGCTCTCTGACCTCGAGTCTACTCCCCTCAGTCGTCCAGATTGAGTCACAGCCGGAGACCTGGATTGTACAGTTGCAGAATTTCCCCTTGGACTTGATGTTGTTTGGGTACCTGCATACAAACAAGTGTGTGTGCTTGGGGTCGGCCCTCAAATTTCCACGAGGCATCTGATTTTGCCATTCGGCTTCCGTAAGAAGAACCATCGATTAGCATACGCGCTATCAGACGGTTCCGCGACATGGGAAACCATCTTTTCTTTCAGGAAAGCAATAACTTCTTCCTTCTCCTTCTGGGCATACTTCCATCCCGCGTCATTCCAGGGAACATGTGGTACGGTGTAAATCCTTGCTGGCTTCGCGTATCGAGGGTCAACTCTACCGCGCTCCGCGTCGCTGAAAGCTATTGCCTTATCACATGTTTTCAGAATCTCTATCACTCGTTCTCGTTCTTGCGGGGTCAGATTTCCATCTCCGATGTCCATCCTGCTATCCTATCTTGCGTCAGGCGTTGTGGCTCCTTTCTCTTTCTTTCTTTGATCTCCCTAGCGATCTCTTCTTCCGATATCCCTTCTAGTGCAGATCGCTCGCGGCCCACCGCCGCTGGCTTTACCTTCTGAGCTACCCGCTTGTGTCGCTTAGGCGGCCCCCCGTAGAGGGCCGTGCCCTTAAAAAAGACACGGATACTACACCGCCTAATTCCTCATCTTCTCCCTTCGGGTACGAGTTGCCTTCTACTATTAACCGACTCCCTAAATCTTCTATCTCGACAACTCGGCCTTCTTCCTCTGTAAGCAGTGGTCCATAGTTCTTTTCGCGAAATCG